CAGGAAGAGGGCACCTATCCTGGGCAGTTGCTCTCATCCTGCTTGACGGACCTTGTTTGCCATCGGGTGTTCAGAGTGCTGGACTAGAAGGGCCGTTGATCAGATTCAGCATGGCTTTTCTTATGTTCTTAACATACATAAGGAACATAAAGAACAAAGAAGCAAACCCCCCCCAAATATTAATCCTAGATTAATACATCCTCTACAGGACATGGTTGGACAGATTATGCATGATTTTGTTAGTGACGCTCCACACAAGAAGGACTTGTTCCTGAGCTAGAAATTAAAGTTCATCTATGGCTCCTTGGGAGAAAATACACCATGAAATTAGAATGCATAACTTTTGCTTTCTCCTAACTGAAGCCTCTTAACTATAGATGTAATTATAAGAAACATTGACTGGAAGCTAACCTCAGGGTGCAAAATAATATGAAAAGTCCAAAAATAGGCCAGGTGTACTGTGATAGCTCTTCTGATAAAGGCCTTTGCATGGTTTTTTAACATAGAAATGCCCCAGAACGAAATGCTCAGTCTCAGGCTGAGCCATTTCAGGTTGTAGGTTGTCTCTCCATAGAGAACAAGAGGGAGAGGAATGTCCAGGCTCCCTTCCTGTAAAAAATACACTGTGGGAAAGAAAGATGTCAGTGATGGAGGTTGCCTGGCTATGACAGTAGGAAGTTAATGGTGGATTCTGTTCAGTTGTAAACAAAATGCAGTTGACACAGTTTTGGTTTTCTTTTTATTGTTACCAGTGAACGTACAATTGGTACCTCATTCTAAGTACATAACTGATTAACAAAGGTGTGGTGGATAGAAGCTAGCTGTTCTGAATTAGCCACACAAGATGACAAACAAGCCATCAATATACTAACATTGATGAGTCTCTTGAGTTTGTTTCACAGGTAGGCTAGAATCATGGTTGCTGAACTGTGGAGAATTAATAAGATTAGCTCAAGCAGCAGCCAGGCATAAAGGGTAGAATAATTCTTGGTCATTTTTACAGCAAATATAGAACTGTTTTAAAAGTAAGTTTAAAATATATTATGTAGTTTTGGGTAATTGATTTTCATATCCAGTGTTTTGGAAAGTACAGCCAAACCAATAACTCTTCCTTCTTCCTTGCTTCTAACTTGTTTTAAGAATATTTTTTTCTTGATCAGAAGTTGCTTCTGATTCATATTCATCAATTTTGTATAGGGTAGTTGTTCCCAACCTTTTCTATGCTTCACATCTCTAGAAAATGTTTGATTTATGTTCATGCCTCCTACAAAAATAATATCAGATTTGAAGATGAAGAAGTCAAATTTCTAATTTTTGAACCACTGTTTTACATGCAGTACTGCAGGTGAACAAATTGAACTAACAACAAGAACAAAAGTTTTTATCTCAGTGCATAAAATTCAAATATAAATTGAACAATGAGCCAAACTATTGGGATAATTTTTGGCAAAAAATGTCATGATTTGCCAAATTTGCAGCCTTCTTTTTTCACACCCCATGAAATGTCATCTTGCACCCTACGGGGGTGCAGGCATCCCAGGTTGGGAACCCCTGGTATAGGGGAAGTGGCCATTTCTGGGAATTAGAAAGGGAAATTCCTTACACACATGGAGTTGGAGGAGGAACAGAGGACAGAATTATCCATTTTGTCTCTTCACTTGTAACTGAATATGGAGCCATGTTCCTGTGACTCTTAAAGAAACATCAAGGATATCTTACAAACTTCAGAAGAATAAGTAATATGAATAGTCCCAGGATGATGAGTGTGAACCAAATATCATTGGGACTGATCAGCTATTGAATCTTGATTAAAAACACAAACACATACAACACAAACAGTAGTTAACAGTTTCCTTCTCCAGATCCCCAAAGGAAAGGAAGTTGAAACAGAAATAACAGAAACAGATGAGTATTTGGAAGCCAGAAGGGAGAAAATGGGTATATAAACGGATCACTAAGTTAAGTGTGCATGGAAAGAATCTGAGTCCACATTTACTGTCAGTAGAATTCCAAAACATTTATTAAGATGTTGGCAATGTATGGCAAGGGCCATACAGACAGGCCTATCTGCTACATGCTGCCTTAACAGATGCCCCATCAATCATTCATCATCATCATCCACTCAGGAATTGGGCTTAATCTTTCCCATTCCCTGAGTGGAACTCTGCTTGAAATGCTTCAGCTATTGGCAAGGTTGGGGACATGATTGTTGCGGGCCAGTCCTCCCCCTGTTGTCCCAGTGCAATCTTCCACTGCTGTTTGCCCAGGTCCTACAACCCTCCTGGGCAGATTTTCAGGGCCTCATGCAGGACTGCAGGGAATGGATGGAATTGAAACATTGGCTTCTCCCCCATTCAGCCAGCAGAAACTTTTGCTGGATCAAAGGCCTCCTGAGGTTGGAGGGAGCCCTTCCATCCACAGTGGAAGATCTCTGGATCCAAGCAATGCTGATCATCTTTATATGTCTATGTTATCATATGATTCAAGAACAGGAAGCAGGAACAGCCACCAGCAAATCCAACAAAAATTATTCTGTTCCAGGACAATCATTGTAGGCCAAACATATATTTTCACATGTATGCCTCTGCTAGAAGCAAACATAAGACATGTTAATTAGGCTATGGGGACCATACATAACCAAATTATGTGAGCATTAGCCTCAGAGTCTCAATGAGTTGCTTCAGCTTTCTTAGCTATGCCCTAATTGCAATCTAAATATTCTGCAATTTGCTACTTGAATCTTCCTTTAATCAACCTGTTATTACAGTCAGAGTTGTCAGGATCATGTCAATGTACAAAAAGTTAGGTCCTCTCATTTTCATCATTATAAATGGAAATCACATCTGTACTCTGAGTAATGCATTGACCAAAGGTGCAGCCCAGGGGAACAGGACAGTCTAATATCAAGCACCTTGCAACATGGTGCGAATGGGCTAATCTACTGATAAGTCCCAGGAGTCAGTTTTGATAGATAAGCAAGAGCAGTGTTTCTTCAGCTCTGTTTTAGGGATCCTCCCCAATTTAAGATAAAGCCCTGGTGACTCTCCAAGAAGGCTGAAAGTAGACTATGCGGTTGAGCAATGCTGCCCTGAGGGCACTGCACTGGGAACAAAAGGCATTCTGGTTAAGAGGGAGGGATCCAGAAAAACACATGAAGAAATAAAAGGCATTGTTTTGCTGGAAAGCACAAGCACACACTGGAGAATACTTCCCTCACTCAGAACAGGGAGGACAACAGATGAGATGTACAAATTTGCACATGCAGTAGAAGCAAAGAAAGCAAACATTGATTGGAATGCGTTTCTGCTTTCTCTGGCTTTCCTGTCATAATGGAAATAGCTTTCAGCTCATTATTTCAGTGCTTTTAAAATAAATAATATTAATTGTGGGATCAACTAAAGTTTCATTCTTTTTCTCTCCCAAGAGGGTGCTCACAATATATGTATAAGACATTCCCTTTCAAAAAATATATGTGTAAGACATTCCCTTTCAAAAATTGCATCTCAATTCAAAATTATCTTCTGCTTCCCCCTCTGCATGTTCTTATATAAACCTCAAATCGTCCACTCTACTGCACACAGCTGATGACCCACCCATGAAAACACATACTGGAATAAATGTGTTAAGGTGCTACAAGATGCTTCATTCTTCTTTCTTCAAATGGTTCATAGGGATTCCATCTGGAAGTAATTAAATAAACTTTCATTCTAACTAATAGCTAACTTGGGGATGGGGGAGTATTGACAAAAAGGTCACCCAAGTATAGGCTTTTTTTAAAAGCACACATTCCTAAAAAGATATGAAGAAAGACTGTACTGCTTGTCCAAAGCAATCAAATGAGAACTGAGCATATATATCAGCCATAGAATGGGAATGCTTGTTTTAAAGGTAAAAAGATTTGTTTTCTAAAAAATTAAAAAGCCAGGGAACTGGGCAAGGGACACTTGCTGTGCTTGGTTGCCTGGATCGCTGACTAGCAACACTTTGGTTACAGGATGAGGATATACTGCAACATTTGGCTGCGGGTTCCATTTGTTAGGATTGCGGAAGAAAAATTAAAAATAAGGCTAGAAGCTCATGTTCGAGTGATGTGGTTAGAAAGTGCAGAGAAGTTGCAAATATGCTTTTCATTCCAGAGAAGGCCCCCTCCCTTGTACAGCTTTTGCTCTGCTTCTTCTTTTTCAGTGCTTGCGTGGTATTTTATGAAGGTTAGAGCTGAGTTTGCATGTGGTAGACAACCCAGTGTAGCCTGATTTTCTCCCCCTGCAGTCAGATCAGCCGCGGTGCCTGCCTTCTCCGACACGGGGTGATTTCTTTTCTTCAGCAGGACACGCTGGCAAATGTATTTGAAGCAGGAGCGTGACGCCAGAGAGAGCTTTTAAGCTGAAACATAACGGAGGCTTGGTCACAGGCCCCACCATGGGAACCATGCAGTGATGGCATTTGGACTGGGAAGCTGCTGAGACAGAGCAGGGGCAAGGACCTCCCAGCCTGCCTCGCCAGCCCAGCTGTCCATGGGCTGGCCCATGTTGCAGCGGCAGAATACAGGCTGTGCATTTGCTGCTGGCACAGTAGATCTGTAGGCACGAACAGAGGTTTCAGTTCACGCTAATGCTATCTCCGCCAGGTTTCAGTCTCTCGTGAACTTATTCCAGAATGCCTGTGAATCATGTAGTAATAATAATGGAATCATGTGGGGATGGCCATATGCAGGGCTTTTTTTGTCATAGAATGCACCTGAATGGCATTCTGGCACCTTTTTTTCCAATGGATTTTAGAAGTGATTTTGAATCATAGCAGATCAGCAACAAACATCATTAACATAGTGCCTGCGGGCTGCTATTGTGTCTGCTATCTGCTATCTGATAGTGAGATAGTGAGGGCGGGTGGGGCGCTGCTCTCGGCTTGGCCTTGGCTTGGGACAGACGGACACAGACGCTGCTCCGCTGCTCGTCTGCCGGCGACGTGAGTTCCGGCACCTTTTTTTTTTTTTTTTTTACAAAAAAAGCACTGGCCATATGCAATGTTTTCGTGCTTCACCTGACACTGATCCCGTGGCCACAGCTTCAGAGTCTGGGCTGGCCACTTGCACCTGACCAACAAAAGAGGAATTGCATCACCCCAAAGATGCCAGTTTGGCTGATAGTTGCACATCTACATGTGTCTATGAAGACGTAAAATTAATAACCGTCATTTAAATAGAAATTGAGAACATCCCACCATAGTGGAGAAGAATGACTAGGCGACCTGTGTGCCTCATCAGTTTACCCTGCAGGAGTGAATTGCTGATAGGTCACTTCAAGGCCCCTCCTTTTGAGAAGGTGCTTTGACGGCAGACCAGACTTGGATTGTGGCCAGCCCATCAGACAGAAGAGACACTCAATCAGATCTCTGCCTGTAGTCATTTTTCCCTGCAGCTACACATCCCTCTGACAGCTGCAGGCGCTGAAGAGGTAGAGCTGAGGGAAGTGTGCCCACTATTGGCTGGAGAGTTCTTCCCCTGGGTGGGGGGGCAGGTCCTGTAGAGCATGAGAGAGCAGTGGTTTAACGTTTGTGCCCTCAGCTTTTCCCCTCTTCTGAATTGGCTTCCCATACCTGCAATTCCAGGGAACATACCAGGATCCCCATCCAGAATGCATCATTGTGCTTCTTTTTAGTAAGGGGAAAAAAGAAAGACTGTTTACCAAATAATTTCACAAAGATAATAAAGGCAGAGGGTTATTAGATAGATTTCTGCATTCTTAAGCATAATAGCAAAGTTTAACAATGTAGCTGTGGAGCTGAGACCATTCGTCTGGAACTATTGTTGTAAGAAAGGATCACATTGTGTGAGAATTCTGAGATTTACAGACATTATATAAGCAGATCAGGACTAGCCTGTGCATCTTTTCTCTTGTCAGAAAAGCAGCAAGAAATCGGGGTGAAAGCAGGGAATGTTTAAAGCATCAGCTTTGCGGGTATCGTTTCTCTTGGAACATTTCCACTGACACATTCTGGGTTTCAGCCTTTGTTCCATGTACTTCTGCAGAGAAAGAACAAGAAAGCATTTTTATTTTAAAGGAACTTGGAGTGAATTTCTTTGTTAAGAAGTGTTAGGAGGTTTATGTTGTTCTGTGTGGTTCCCTGCCTAGGTTGCTCACTATGGTTTTAATGTCCTGTTTCCTTGTATGTCCTGGTTTTGCATCTTCCATTCAGTCTCTGTGTGCTTCATGTTTTATTTATATCATGCCTTTTCCCTCCAAGGAACCTGAAGTAGTTAACACAACTCCCTCCTCTCCAGTTTTTCTCACAGCAGTCCTTGTTCTGGGTGAGGCTGAGATGCAGTGGCTGGTCCAAAGCTGACCAGTGAGCTTCACCATCAAATGGAGATTAAAACCTGGATCTCACAGATACCCAGTTCAGCAAGTAGAAACATAGAAACATAGAGTGAGTCAGAAGGAGTCACCTGGGCCATCTAGTCTGACCCCCAGCTTGAACTACTTGCACACTTGAACTACTCCGCCATGCAAGTTCTCCAGCAATGTGTTCTTCCCTTCCAGTTCTTGTCCACTTTTTAACATTCTCATATACATTCTACAAATTCACCTTTTTGAAATATTGGCTGCACTGTGTCTCGCTAGTGCAATAACACACAAACTTGTTTACACAACTGCATGAACAATTTTACCATCTTTTTCTTGAAAGAACAATCAGGTTGTTAGCTTTGATAGATGCCAGCATTAAGAATCATTGGTATTCCTCTAATTGTAACTAATGTCATTATACACACTTTTTTGGGGGGGGAGGGGCAGAATATTGCATTGCCAAGTAGAAGTGCTTCAAAGTGGATAAATTTTAACACAAATGCATTTTACTTACTCTTGATGGAAACACCATTTGACCCCTCGGATTCTGTTGTCAAAACAACACCCTCTTCTTTGACATGTTTCTCTAGTAATTCCTTTATATCCACACTCTCTTCTCCTGTGCGGAACTACATTACAGGTAAGACGTCCTATTCAGAAAAATAAAAATGCAAAATTCAGAACTCCTTGTACAGAAAGGTTTCATTTGGGCACACCCCAAGATTATCCAAGGTTCGACAGCAACCTTGGCTCAGTCATTCCCCTTCAGCTTAACTCACCTCACATATTTTTGTTTAGACTCATATGGAATAACAGTATGTATGCACATTAGAAATGCAAATAGATATTTTTTAAAAAATGGGATCATACAGTTCCACTTCCAAGGAAACTCTCATAGTTTTGAACTCTTGATCTTAAGGAAGCTTACAGTGTTTTGAAATATTTCCCCTTTCATGTATTGCACGAAGGGGCAAAACATGCTCAAAGGGGCCGCAGAGCTGTGCTTTAGCCCCACCCAGATTTCATGTGGCTGCTCCCATCCCCACCATCCAGACATTCACATGGACATCAGAGGCAAAGAATCCTTCATGCAGAAAGCTTGGTGCATGCAGGCATTGCTGTATCCAAGATCCTTGCTTGATCAGGCTTCAAGGACCCAGGGAATCCACCAGGTGGGATGCAAAACTCCATGGCCTCAGATATCCATGAGAATGTGTGATGGACATCCTCTGTAACTTAGGAGTGGATCTAATGTTTAATGAGGACTTGCAAACAGCACCAAGGAGAGATTGTATGCATGGTTAACTGCCCAGAGGGACTTGACTATTGGGAGGCACAAGAATGGAACGAACAAACAAACAAATTGTGGTGCTTCTTGCTGATTCTAACAGGATCCATCTCATTCTCTTCTACTCGGCTCATTTTGTTCAGGGTTCTGCTATTGCATGGATTCCAGTTTTTAAAAGATTGAAATGTAGCCTGCCCTGTACATGCCCTGCTGGGAATGAGAAGGATGCTGGCTTCGGGCATTTGTTCTCAAGGGCTGCTGGCTCAAGAAGAAGAATCCAAATCAGAAAGTGAAACAGAAGGTGGGGGGGGGAGAGTGGATGGACGGTGCCAAGACACAGAGATGGAGGCACTCATCCCAAGGCCAGACCTCTCAGATGGGGAGGCAGCCCTTGGGAATATGCGAGATGCACCGCAAGTGGGAGAGGACCCTGAGTATGGAAGTTCTCAGCTGACGGCTAGGAAGGCCTAGCTCTTGACCCTACAATGCAGCATCAGCAGAGGAGGGCAGCCCAATTACATGACTGGACTGCAGAGGAGAGGTGTGTTCTCTTCTAGAAGGCCTTTCCCAAAGGGATTGGGCCCAGACATGTTCATAAGGAGAGTTTCTGGAGATGAATTCTAGATAGGGTTCAACAAACTGCTCTGTGTGTGCTCAGAGATTCATTCTGGGTGATTTATGCTTTGGGGTAAATAATGAACACTTTGAAAGGAAACAGTCAGTGGCTTTTGAATGCTTGAAGGAAGAACCTTGGCTCCCGACATCCCCTTTCAAAACACACTGTCCCTTTAGGTTGATACAGAAAAGTCTTCAAGCACACTTACATACTGTAGTTGGCAGAGTTAGACACGATTCACCCTCCCATCTGAGTGACGATATGCCCATTGGCAGCCCTAAGCTTTTTTCCTACCATGATGCATCCCTATAGCCCTCTGTCCATTCCCCTGAGGAGAGCTGCCCCACATTAGGGAACAGGGAATACATATGTCTTCAGCTCTTACCCTGTAAGGTCAGGGTTCACATCTCCAGCGTGGCCCCAAATAAATACATAGGATCTGGATAGGGAAATGGCATATGGTTTGGGCAACTGATCTCTGTAAGGTTCAAACTGAACTGATTTACAAAGCTCTGCTCTAGACAGAGAATCCAAAAAAGTATTGCTTAAGGCTTCAATCACCTGGACACATTGAAATTACCGTATTTTTCGCTCTATAAGACGCACCTGACCATAAAACACACCTAGTTTTTAGAGGAGAAAAACAAGAAAAAAATATTTTGAATCAAATGGTTTACTAAACTATTTAATAAACTATAACAGAATACAGTAGTACCGTATTTCAACCTTGTAAAGTGAACAGCAGTCAACAGTGGCATTAAGAACCATAATCACTTTCATTAACAAAAGAGAGACTTTAAAGTTCGAGTACTCTTCTAGTTTTTGTTGAACCCATAGAACTCATCATCACTAGAGTTAGAATTTATGAAGCTCTGTTGCTCACAATCACTGACATCACTTTCTTAGTCAGTAGCGGAATTATTGAAGGAATCCACAATCTACACCAGTTATACAAGAGCTGCTGCAGACAATTTAATAACAAATCTAAAAAAGCCAGTAATGTCCACGCTACCCTACTAGTAAATAATAGAAAAAAACTTCTGACAAAAAGTGAGATATTGTACGGTAAATCAAACACACAGCGGAATAAGTAGCCTTTGAAGAATAAACTTCATACACGAAGGCAATGCTGTTCAAATATCCACTGATCCTAAAAAAAAATGTGTCTGATCAACTAACGGATAACTGATCCATGGAAAGCTTCCTGATAATCACAGGCACATTCCCCATCACTTCCCCATGGGCTTCAATAAAAGACAGGTTGCCATTTGAAAACACACACCAACCTGTGATTAACAGCTCTCACCTGAGCCGGAGGAGGGGGGCGGAGCAGGGCGTGCCAAGCGCATGCCAGCCAGGTGGTGCCACATGGGCCCGGCAGCATGCCGGCCATGCTCTTCCGGGTGGCAGGGCGATGGCAGGTCTTCCCAGGCGGTGGGGGTGAGCAGTCGGTCTCTCTGTGAGCAGGCAGGTTAAAGCCTGCGACTTCTCCTCCTCCGTGGCAGGTCTTCCCGGGAGGTGGGGGTGAGCAGTCCATCTCTCCCTCCTCCTCCTCCGCACCTCTCCCCCTGAGTGGCACAGCTCTCACCTGCGCCGGAGGGGGGGGGGCAGAGCAGGGCGCGCTGAGCGCATGCCAGCCAGGTGGTGCCACGTGGTGCAGGCGGGCCGGCAGCGTCCCGGGTGTCGGACACACACACATTCACTCTATAAGACGCACAGACATTTCCCCTTACTTTTGAGGGGGGGGGAGTACATCTTATAGAGCGAAAAATACGGTAATTAAGAACAATTAACTTATTTTACAAACATACTAATCCTGAAAAGCAAGCCCTAGGTATGCATGCCAGTCTTCAGATAACTAGGGTCCAGGGTTTTGGGGTCATGAAGTTATGGCTTGAATGGATAAACAACACACAAGCACATTTTATTTATTATCATAGATCAAAATTAGTGCGTTACCTGGATTTGGGTTTTGCTTGGCATCCACCAGACTGTTGAATCCTGCAATCAGGATGAAGCCCAGGATCCAAAACCATTTGCAATTCATTTTGATTTGTGATCTTCACCCAGTCGTAGAATACTTTTAAAAATCACTGGTGTCTCTGCAGAGGCTTGACTGGTTCCCTGTGAAGAAATTAGGGCCTGTTGCTAAGTACTCAAATCCCAATAAAGGGTTGAATTGGGAGAAGGAGACCAATTTCTGTTTCAGAGAGAAAGGGTCAAGCAGCAGAGGCCCCGGTTATATTCTAATAGGCAGCCAGACAAATTTAGTGCAGTTGAGGAACAATTGAGCACTGGAAACTAAGTTTCTGTATATTTGGATATGTGGACTTTTCTGGTTGTGTGACTTTTCAGCTGATGCTACATTCAGTATCAGTGAGGTGAGGCTTAGCTGCTCACAGCTTGTGTAACAAGAAGTTTCACTGAAATATAAATGTACACAAATTAGTGAACTGGACTTTTGAGGTCTCCTGCTCCACATGTCCTACCTAACTACATGACTTATAAGTTCTTCTCCCTTTGCCCTGAAATATCTCGTCACTCCATTCTGTAGAGTTTTTACATTCAAGAGTCAGATCTGTGTTCAGTCCAGTTCACATATCCCTTTATAGCTTCTCATTTGCAGAACTGCCACCTTAAGAATTCTGCCTGCTTTGCTTTCCTCAATCTAAGTGCACACATTCCTGTGCTAGAAAAGCCATGTTATACAGCACATGCTATATTTGCTTTGTTAGACATTGTTTTTCTTGTACTAGCCAGGACTGCTACTAACATCTGTGGTAACTATAAGCTGTGGCAGTCTTGAGAACCAGTGTGGTGATGTGGACAGAACGCTAAGCGGAAGTCAAGAGAGCTGCCTTCTAGTCCCCTTGAAGCTCACTGGGTGACTTTATCTATCAGGCTGTGGTGGGGATAAAATAGAGAGAAAAAGGATTAAGTAATCTGTGTTAGGTTCCTTGGCTGAGACAGAAAGGCAGGATATAAATATTATAATTAATAATATTATATATATATATATATATATATATATATATATAAAATAAATAGTCCAATATATGCTTGTTCTTATTTCAAAGAATCATAGAGTAGCAGAGCTGGAAGGGGCCATGAAGGCCATTGAGTCCAATCCCCTGCTGTTGCAGGACACCACGTTACAAGTTTTTCCTTGAATATCTCTAGTGTGGGAAAGCCCAGCACCTCTCTAGGCAGCTGGTTCCACTGTTGTGTTGCTCTGACAGCGAGGAAATGTTTCCTGATGTCCAGCCTGAATCTGGGTTGTTGCAACTTGAATTGATTATTCCATGCCCTACGTTCTGGCATTAGCAAGAAGAGATCTTGACCTTCCTCTTTGCCTTTAAAATAAATGGCTTAATTCTCCTAACATTTGACAACGAATCAATGGCAAATTCTTTTGAAGTCCTTGCCTCTGTCTTACTTGGATAAGTTGATGTGGCTAGCAGTGGTCTAGAGTTTGAAAATCTCTTGCAAGTGTAGGCTGCATGCACAATGCCAGATGTATGTTACCCAATATGCATATTAACTCTGCTTGACATAATTAACATTAACATCAAGCATTAGCAGATAGTGCTTGATTCTGACATTTGCCCTATGCTGCCAAATGTCCAAAGTGCTGTCTGTATATGCATCATCTGCCTGTAATCCCTACAACATTCCTGTAAAGATGAATCACTATTATTGGCCTCATATTTCAGATGGGGAGACTGAAGCTGGGAGGAAACGGCTTT